TTCTATTTTCTACATTCACATTGCACACTATTTTCTTACCCTAAATGTGTTAATTTAAGATGTATTTGGTTATCATAAACGACTCGAGGTATGTTGGATAATCATGTTGCTTTACAAACTAATTATATCATTATTGCTAACAAAATCATGTCTATTATTTGTTATTTTTTTCATACAGTGAAGTGATGTTTAAGTACCAGACAAGGATGAAGGACCTTGGTGACAAACTTAAGAGTTTGCTTTTCATATGAAGTACCCGAACCTGAGGAAGCTACACATAATGACCATATTTATGCACTTCATCTCAACTTGTACCCGTCATGCCTTGATTCAACCCAAACAATGGGCATAGGCCCGCACATAGATACTCTCCTCTTTACAGTCCACCAAAGTGGCAATGCAAGTGGACTCCAAGTATACAACGACGAATTTGGGTAGGTCTCAGTCAACCCACAACTAGGTGCCTTGGTGGTGAATGTGGCAGATCTTTTACACATAGTTTCAAATGCAAGATTTCCATGTGCAATTCATACGACAGTTGTTAACAATAAACAAAAACAAAGGTTATCCTTATAAAATTCTAAATATCGTGGGAACCTAATCTAGTTGTCCAAATTATCTTATTTGGCGTGATTTTCAATTATATATTCTTGATTAAACATGCAAAGGGGTGATCAAAATAAATAAAATAATACGAAAAATATATTGGAAGCAACGTCATAATATTAATTAAAACATCCAAATCATAATAATAAAACCTAAACATGTACTAGCAAAATAAATAAGTTAAGCAATTAATTATATTAATTATTTACATTGCGTGCGCTCCTTTAAATCGCTACATCATGAATAATCGTTAGTAACTTCAAAAGATTATATATTAAATTGAAATAATTAAATTAATATTAAATAAAGTCTAGATTTGTCTAAACTCTCAAAAATTCAACCTTTTACTTACAAATTTGAACTCAGGCGAAAATTGGATTTTTGGCACGCTTATATCGCTATGGGATCCTATATTGAATTGCTTCATAGTTCGCCAAGGGTGCATAACTGTGACCCTAGCTGACATCGCTTTCCTTACTAGCCTTTCTCCTTATGGCGATGTAGGCTAGAAATTTAGAGTTTTAATGTTATTAATGGCCCTGAATCATTGTACAAGAGGAGCCATGAGCTCATCAAAGAAGATTTTGGTGATATCCAAGACCAGTAAGGTCGGCTTTAATGCCTTCATTTCCTATTTTACATCACCATCATATCCAAAAGCAATATTGTCCGAGGAAGAGGTACTTTTCAAACCTTTTGCTCTTACTTGTTTAATGATGTGTAAATCTGGTGGCATTTCTACACTATTGTTACCACTAACTATGAACATAGGACATAATAGTTCTTTCTAGTCTCTAAGCCCTGTTATGCTAGGACACTTGTACAAATGTTTATTTAGGTGTAGGGAGACCCCACTATCATCATCCAACTCAAAAAGTATAGGAGGTCCTTTGTGGTTGATCACTTGTTGGGGGAAGTTTATATTCCACATTGTGCATGTAGAAGTCTAGAGATGAGGTCATGAAGGAAAGAGCTGATAAGAAGGTTCAGTTAGCCTCTAGACTAGACTGTAGCTAGAGAAAATACTTTAAATGAACACCGTAAATCATATGCTTAAATATATGTGCTTCAACTACTATAATCATCAAAGTTGTTGACCCAAACTTGGTCATGCGTTTCTTATTGGAGTTAGATCCTTCACCAGTGAACTGGCATGTAATGAGTCGTAAGGATAACCCTGATGACACTAGCTTGTAGGTCTTTGATGCCACTCTAGATTGGCTAAAAGCGTATGAATGTTGCGTTTTTTTGCAAGAGATTCACCTTTTCGGTGTTCAGTCCTTGATGCAAGAGACTTGCCTGTCGCTAAATTAAAATACTTTGATTTCGAGGCTTACAATTGTAAAATGGTTGCCAGGTAGTTTGGTTTGTGCCTAGTTATCCCTCTTATCACCACCTGCAATATGCCTTGAGAGTTAAGGCCAATTTTTAATGAAGATGATGTTTAGCCAATGAAACACTTAAATATCCTTTGTTAGAGTTGGAGCCAAGAAAAGCATACGCCTTGGTCACTGAGAGCTATATTCAGCGGTGGCATCATGGAACTCTTTAACTTTTAGATGTTAAAGATGCAAAGGCTCACTTTCCTATAACCATTGTTAGTTACAAAGTTATATCTTTTCCATTTATCACTTTATCTAAGTATTTATACATCTCTTTCTCATCAGTCTATTCTCAGGAAGAAAGAAGACTGTTGTGGCATTAGTTAAGTTGAAGCATAAAGAGGCAAATTTTCAAATTGATCGATCTACTATTGTAGCTTCAAAATTCAACTGTTGACCCTCTATCATAAGTGACCTTGCCCGGAGTCGTATATTCTCATACTGAAGTGTCTTGCTTAAAGAAATTGATCTTAGTTGTCACTCCTATAGCTCAGAAGTCAAGAGGTAATAGGCATAGGAACTTTCCTATGTCCAGTCCAAGTACCAGGGTATAGGGAATCAATGGGGCGGTTCTGATGCGGAGGATGACACCTCCATACCCATACTCGCCTAAAACTCTTATACTCATCCAAGGTTGTTAAGATCGGGATCCTACCTTAGATCGATGAGGGGGGGTGGAATCGAATCGATAGAATCGGATTGTAGGATCGTAAGATCCTACTTAATAATATTACTTCCTCCGTTTTTTTTATATTGCATCATAGGGGTTTTGGAGGCAAAATTTGGTAGTGGGAAAAAGTAAGAGAGAGAAACGTAAAAATACAAAATTGTCCATGTAATGTGAGATAAAATAAAAAGTAAGTGTGAAAAAGTAAGGGTATGTTGGGTATTTTCAGTGTGAACATAGATATTTTTTATCCTAAAAAGGAAATGATGCAATAATAAGTAAACTTCCTAAAGTAGTAAGTGATGCGATAAAAAAAGAACGAAGGAAGTATATATTATGCTATAAATTGACATAAAACCATTTTTTCTAAGGGGTTTTAATGCTGAAAGACATTGGTTTGCTTAAGAAAAGTCGATCTTCATTTAGCTTTGTCTGTATGGTAGTTAGAAGATTAATAACACAAGTTTAAATTAATAAATTATGTGCAAATTTGTCAAGAATGAGACCTTAACTATGACAATTTCAAGTTGTCAATTGATAAAATCATATTAATGTCTCGGATTCGCTAATTTATTAGCGATAATTATTGAATACATTAAATTTAGGTGCATATAACCTAATAAGAAATTAAATATGTCAAAATAAATCAAAGTCTCATATTATAGCAAAATGTTGGATCGGTTCGTAGGATCGTGTTGAGATCCTACCACTCATAATTAATATTGGAGTAGGATCGTAAGATCCTACAAAGTTTAAGACCCTACCAAAGATCCGGATCGATCACGCAATTTTGTATCGTAGGATCGTAAGATCCGGATCGGAATTTTAACAACTATCTACCCATCCCCGCCCCACCACCCGTGGCAGGTACAATATCCACATCCATACTCACCCCGCCGGGTACAAGATAAGATACATCCCCGCCCCACCACCCACTTGGATATCCATACCCACCCCTTACTTGCCCTAAAAGCGTCCTAAACCCACTGCCATGATGTTGTATTATATCCCATTAATGACAATTATATCAAATTAGGGTAAAAAATTTAGGACTCTTACCGTTTGGGCGGATTGGGCCTTAGTGGGTATTAATTATCAAAAATTCAAAACTTTTCTAACAGAAACACGGGGTGAGTATAAGACAGGTATGGAGCGGGTCTGCTCTAAAATCCATACTCGCCCCATGGCGAGTACACATTTTGACCCATCCCTGTCCCAACACCCGCCAAACCTCCCTCTATCCCCGCCCCACTGAGGCGAGGATGGGGCGGGTCTCCCATTTAACGCGGCCCACTGTCATTCCTACTAGGGTACACTCCACATTAAAGACGAAGCAAGAGTTGGATGATACTCATATCCCATTACTAAGTAAAATCTTTAACTCTTGCATATCCAAACTACTAATTGGTGAAGAGTAAGGGCATGCTTGACATCAGCTTTTGAGTAGCTTTTAGTCAAACCATTACTTAGTGAAAAATATGAGTGTTTGGCAATGTAGTGGTGGGAGTAGAGTATAGTTGTTGGAGTAGCTTTATTGAAAAGTTAATATTATTAATTTTTGTGAAAAGTTTGGTAGCTGTTGGAATTTTTCTTTAATATTTTTAGAATTTTACAGCTAATAATTAGTTAACAATTACTTTACCAAACACTCATATATACCTAATTATTTATTTTCACAGCTAACAACTACACAAACAACTAATAACTACCATCATAGCTAATACTTCGTAACATTTACCTCTATAGCTATATTTTGCTGAACGCACCCTAAATCATTTTTTTTTTAATGTGGAGTAGTGGACGGTGGGTGGTGGCTAGTGGGGTAACAAGTTAGAGAGTGGGTAAAGAAAGTGAAAGTGAAATGGGGGTACGTTTTATAAGGGGGCATGTTTAATTTGTAAAATTGTGTTAAATAAGGTGAATATCGGGCGTGATTTAGCGATTAACTGAATTCACGGGTTGTGGTTGAGAGTGATTGCTTGGGAGTGGTAGAGGTGCTACGTGGAGGTGTGAAAGGCTAGAGTTCGTTACTTCTTATTGTTGAGGATATTCTAGATTTATGCTCTAATTTTATTGATGTTATTTAGTGTTTTGTTAAAAGGAGCGGGAATAGAGTATCACATGAATTGACTCAATTCAAACCTTGAGAATTCGGTCAAAGAGTGTGGAATAATAATTTCCCGACTCGAATCTTGGATGTAGCGAACAATGATTTATTAATCTACTACCTCCATTACATATTAATTGCAACTTCAGGGTATTATTTGTGAGATATAAAAAATTTCAAAGTTGCAACTTATATGCAACGGAGGTAGTAAGACCCTATTCTTTTGAGTTTCTGAACAAAGTAGAGCAGATTTCAGCGGAACGGAGCAAAGCAGAATAGGTCAAAAGAACAGGGCATAAGTCCCTTTTGAGGGTTGTTTCACAAATTAACCAAGATACGAACTCCTCATCTAACCCACACCCAATTTGTTCTATCCTTCCTTTCCACTTCGACACAACCAAAGTGAACCCAATAAACCCCATCAAAACTCCCTCTGTTAATACACTTTTCATGCAGTTGGGAAGAGCTCTGTTCTCATAAATACCCATTTCTCCTTGTTTTTCTGCCCCCTCATTCCTCCTGCAATCACATTGGCTTTTCGGTAAGCCAAATATCTCACATTGTTGTTACTATTATTCATTTATTTTGCTTCGTTTTTTCTGAATTTTTCTGGGTTTTATGTTGAGATCTTGCTTTGGATATTGTTTTTCATTATTAGTATAACGAAAATAGCTGATAAAGTTTGAATCTTGGCCATGTACTTAGTGTATACCATTTTGATGATTGTTGTTTGCTGTTTGAGTTGTAAATTTTTACTGCCAAATTCTTGAAGAATCAATAATTTGTTAGTTTATTTTTTTTTTGGGATTTTCTGGGATTGTTTAGAAATGTAACTGAGTATTATTTATCGAATTTCTAATTTCCTTAATTTCAATTGAAAATTACAATTATATGCCAGCAGAATGTGAATTGAAGGATATTACTGAATTTCAGTTACAGTGAACTTTAAATTTACCCTACTTTTTGAATTCAATGAAATTCATATGTTTGGTTGATTTATTTTATCACCCAGATTAATAATTGCTTTTACTAGAGCAAGTAGATTGAAAATGTCAGCCTCCACAGCATCAGGGTTGCAAATGGCTGCAGTTAGGCCATGTGTGTCTTCCCCTCGCCGTGTTTTTGGTGCCACTGCCGCATTTTGTATTGCTGGTTTCAGCCGAGCTTCTTGGGCTAAGCTCACAAGTGCTTGTCATATATCATCTGTACAGTCTTTCCAGCGCAACCTTTCATCGGCGTCCTCCTTGAAATCCAACAAGGGTGTTATCAAGGCGATGGCAGAATCTAGTAACAATTCTGCAGGAGGATTGCCTATTAACTTAAAAGGTCAATTTTCATTGTATTGTGCTTTACATGCGATAATAACAGTCTGTGTATTTTGTTGATGTTCTTGTCATTGTCAAAGGCAATAACGTTATGAACATATAGTGGTATTAAGAACTAGTAAAAGACAAAAAAGCTTCTAGAATTTTTTGTGTCGAAAGTGATATGATATGTTAGAAATGATGCATTTGTGTAAAAAATGAATTAATACAGAACCAAGAGTCTAGTAAGCTTACATCTTAATCCCCCCTCCTTAAGACAAAAAATATACCTCTCCTGCTGTTATGTTTAATTTGAATGCAGATGAACAACATATATTTGAGGGTTATTTTAGATACTAATTTAATTTTTTTGGTTCATTTGGGGAATTTGAACCAGATTCCTTTACAATTCTTATCCTGCTCAGCTTATCTTAAGTTGTATCTCTCTTACGAGTTACGAGAGGGATACTGGTGTAGTTACTAATGTCTATAGGATGTGTGGAGTGGATGGGCATCTAGATATACTAGGCAGTAAGGTGTAGTTATCTCTCTTTACTTTGAAGTATGTAGAAATGCCTGCTTTAATTTTAGTGAGTCTTTTGTTATTTATAAGTTGGTTTTTCAGAGGTATTGAGTTTATTTAGAATGAGATGAAGTTTATAGTTTTGTAGAGTGGGATTAGAAAATTAGCCAATTCAAGTGTTCAGATGAATATAGATATAGGTAGATTCTTGTTGATAGCCACGGTTTTGCTTTTCTTGATAGCCACGGTTTATAGTTTTGTAGAGTGGGATTAGAAAATTAGCCAATTCAAGTGTTCAGATGAATATAACTATTAAGGCAACCTTTTTTTTTTTTTTTTTTTTTTTTTTTTTTTTTCCTTTTTCCTTTTTCCTTTTTTATGTAACAAAGACTCTTCACAGGTAAGAGGGCATTTATTGCCGGTGTAGCTGATGATAATGGGTATGGTTGGGCAATTGCAAAATCTTTGGCTGCTGCTGGTGCTGAGATTCTTGTTGGAACTTGGGTCCCTGTAAGTGGTTCCTCATTACTGTCTTCTACCTGCACATGCTCCACTGTATTGATGAAAAATGATTAATGTCTATTCATATTAATCTCTTACTCAGTTCTCTTTGTGGTGTTCTTACAGGCACTGAATATATTTGAAACTAGTCTAAGGCGTGGAAAATTTGATGAATCGCGAGTGTAAGAGTCTCTGTGTGCTGGGCTGTTTTCAGGACTTACAATTGCAATGGCCTTAGTGTTCCTTTGGTGTTTCAGGTTGCCTGATGGTTCATTGATGGAGATCACCAAAGTATATCCTCTAGATGCAGTTTTTGACAGTCCTGAAGATGTACCTGAAGATGTAATGATGGACCATCAGTCACTGTTGTCTTGTTTATAGTGGATTTGTTGTCTGGTTCACTCTCCATACAACATTATAGGCCACCTTTTTTTGTTATTAAAAAAATTTAAAAAATTTTTTTTTTTTTTTAGAAGCAAAATTAAAAATCTTAACTTACCTCTTTTAATTTGTGGACATTTTAACAAAGAACAATTACATCGCTATGGTAAAAAAAACGGAGATGTTATGATTTACATAATGAAGGATAGTTGTGGAATATTATCTCAATATGTGTAAGACCCTCATACAAATGTGGCAAATAGTCTAGGGATGTTGGCAGTTGGAGTTAACAATCCAGAGGCCATGTCTCTAATTCTCTTAATGATTGGCTCACTGCAGGTCAAAGCAACAAGCGTTATGCAGGATCTAGCAATTGGACTGTGAAGGTATTCAAATTGCTCCTGTTGCTGATTCCATGTATTAATGGGTGACAACCATTGTATTCATTGCAATGATTTTGAATGTGAGAAAGTGTGCCATATTGAGTCTTTTTCATGGCTTGTAGGAAGTTGTTGAAACAGTGAAGCAGGATTTTGGTAGCATTGACATCCTCGTGCATTCACTTGCCAATGGACCTGAGGTCATTAGTTGTTGAATTTTTATGTTTGATGCAAAGTATTATTGTTGCCAACTATTTTCCAACTGATCTGGGAAAAACTTTTTTATAGGTCACTAAACCTCTTTTAGAAACATCAAGAAATGGATACCTGGCAGCAATTTCTGCTTCAAGTTACTCTTATGTTTCGCTGCTCAAGCATTTCCTTCCTATAATGAACCCAGGTATCATTGTCGTTGTATGTTTTTAAGTATTACCTCCGTTTCATATTTTTTGCAACTTTGGAATATTTTATACCTTACAAATAATACCCCAAAGTTGCAAAAAATATGAAACGGAGGTAGTAGTTTATTTTATTCACTTATTTTTCGAGTTGCATTTTTTCGTAATTTATTTGTTGGATGTAAAAAATTCTTTTTAATGTATAAAGTGGTTTAGATTGTTATTGTATATTCTTTTGTTTGCAGGTGGTTCCTCTCTATCACTCACATACATTGCTTCTGAGAGGATCATTCCCGGGTAAGTTCCCTTCTAAGTGTTTGATCTTTTCCAAGTTATGAATATGAAGTAATTTTCTCTTAGGACCTCTTCTTATTTCTTGCACATTTATGGTGGAGGCATGAGTTCAGCAAAAGCTGCATTAGAGAGTGACACAAAGGTTTGTATGTTTGTATATTTGTTTGTTCTTTAGAGGGACATGGATAGCCCAAGCAACTTCTTTGATGTAATTACTATATTTGTTTGCCTTTTTCACCCTGCCATTATGTAACTTCTGTCGATTGCCTCAGGTGATGGCATTTGAAGCCGGGAGGAAACGCAGGATTAGAGTGAACACAATATCAGCTGGTAAGCTTCCCTGTATTTTCGTGGTTACTATGTACCAGTTTGCTATGTACCACTCATTACCACCAATATACCAGCCACTCATTACCTTCCAACTTCTCTCTTCCCTTGCTTTTTCACTTCTTTTTTCTCTCTAACTTCATGCTACTAGGAACCAAAGGAAAATGAAGTTTGCAATCTGATTTCTACACAAATTCACTTATTAATTGGAAAAAAAAAAAAAAAAAATAAATAAATAAAATATATATATATATATATATATATATATATATATATATATATATATATATATATATATATATATATATATATATATTCTGCTCAGAATGTTTTCCTTTGAAGAGTTTGAATCAGCATTGTACGAGGTAAAAGCTTCAATGCCTCACTAATCTTCTAACGTCTTCTCTCAGGTCCACTTCGGAGTCGTGCTGCAAAGGCTATTGGTTTTATCGATATGATGATAGAGTATTCCATAGCTAATGCTCCATTGCAAAAGGAATTGTCTGCTGGTAATATATATTACAGATTTCCTGGAAGTTTTTAATTCTCATCGATTCATACAATCTTATATTGACAAGCTTGAAATATAATGTATGCAGAGGAAGTTGGAAACACTGCTGCTTTCTTGGCGTCACCTTTGGCGTCTGCTATTACGGGTGCTGTTGTCTATGTAGACAATGGTCTGAATGCAATGGGGGTGGGTGTAGATAGTCCCATTTTCGCAAATCTTGACATTCCGAAAGACCAGCATTGAATTGGTGGTTAGCGACCACCCATATTTTGTGTTACGATAGTCGAAATCTTCATTCAATAGTTTGTGAGTTAAGTATTGATAATCCGGGTAGGATGCTTATTGTATTGCATCTCACATTCTTGCAATTGTCATCTATATATGAATTCTTGTTGCAGGCCGAGGTATTTCCTATCTCGTGTTCTCAAAAAAGCTTTATTTTATTTTGAAAATTTCTGCACATGCGATCATATGTCCTCCTTAGATCTCAAGTTCATGCACTAATACAACCGATTATACCTTGCTCCAATTCTACCTAGTCTGGCTAGCAAGGTACAATTGGTTGTAAAGTTTATTCATTTGGCTTAAATAAAGGCATGCTATTGTACTTGTATATATTCAGTGATGTTAATGTAAGTCAATTGAGGAAACTATTCTATTATAATCCTCCATGCCTCTTTACTCCATTAATGTTGTTAATTACTATCTTTCTCAATGTCGACGCCTCCATTGCCCCTTATTTTTGGTTTACTCCTAAATAACTGGATATAATAAACCTTTTTTTTTGGTGAAAAAGTGGGACAAAGTCCTAAAAACAAAGCAAATATATGAAAAACTAAAACAAATCAGAAACACACCAAACTAAAAGCAAAAACAAAACAGAACTAAGCAAAGACCACAACAGACTAGTCCCCTATCGAATTCGGCACAAGTCTCAGTCTTGCAACTCCACGTAAGTCCTCCAAAAAAAAGCACGAAGATCCCTGGGGACTGCTTCAAAGATCACTACTATCTGATTGGAGTTCACCCCAAAATTGACTAACCAATCCGCAACACGGTTAACTGTAACCTCCCATCCTTCACGAGAAATAAGAGCCTTACAACGACGAATAATATGAATGTATGGAGAGTTAGACGGGTGTTCGTCTAACAAAATTCTAGCAACCACCTCCGAATCAACCGTGAGCTAAACTTTTCGACGAGTTCCATTCCAAGCTACAGCTAGCCCACACAATACTCCAAGAAGCTCAGCCTTCGTACTAGGACACGAGCCACAATTGGCAGCAAATACTTCGAACAATTCTCCACTGTGATCCCTGATCAAGCCCCCTGCACCTGCCCTTCCAGGATTCCCCTTTGCTGCCCCAATTGTATTCAATCTCACCCAACCAAAGACCGGATTATCAACGTATAGGCGAACTTGGTTCGTTCAATTCTTAGGGAGAAGTTATGCCATTTGATAAATCTCTCTACCCATTCTAGTCGTTTGTTCCTAGTCGCTCTTCTAATATCACCTACTCTAGCATGGATAAATGTGACTTGATCCAAAGGGATATTAGCAGTCCTTTCAAAACAACGCTCATTATGCCACTTCCAAAGCCACCAAGTCGTAACTGCAAACACTAGTGGCGACTGGTCATTCATTTGGGTAGCATCTTCTTCTAGGTTAGCTAAGAGCCACTCACGAAAATTCCTTCCCCTCATTATGCGATCATCAGACCAGCCTAGCCTTCTCCAAACCATTCTTGCAGCTAGGCATATGCGCAAGATATGCTCTGAATTTTCCTCTGGCTCACCACACACATTGCAACGAGGATAATTAGTAATTTTTTTTCTCATAAATTGATTAGCATTTGTCATTAATCTATTCCGAACTGCTAACCAAAGAAAAATTCTTATCCTTTGAGGTACGGGAGTTTGCCAAATCAATTTCCAACCACGAACTTGATCCACATTAGGAGCAGCAACATTTCTCATTATTTTGATGGCTGAATTTAACGAAAATTCCCTTGATGGCGAGCCATCGCAAAATACCTCATCAATCATCTCTTCATCATCCAGAAGCTCATAAGAAAGCTATATCACAAAGCACCAGTCGTGGGAGAAAGTCAGCAAACTTCTCAAACTTCCACCCCTATCATGATCCCACATATCCCTGACATATGCATCTAAAATATCTCCAAGAGGATCAATAACAGCCTTCGAAAGAAGAGACTGAGAGCACGCCCATCTGTGATGTCAAAATTAGGTACGGTAACCATTACCCACAACCATTCCCATGCCTTTCTTCAAAACATCGATATTACTGAGAATTCCCCTCCAAGCATTCGAAGCATATTTCTTTTCTTTGAACATGTCAATATCACACCGTCACTCAGCAATACTTATGTCTAAGTACCCTAGATCATAAAGCTTGAAGCTTAGTCAAAACTCGCCAACCCAACTTTGTAAGAAAAGCTGCATTCGCTTGTCGCATCGACTTCAAACCCAAACCTCCTTTGATTCTTGGTTTAGTAATTCTCTCCCAAGCCACTAAGTGAACTTCTCTTCATTACTTCCCACAGAAAATAACGAGTTTTGCGATCGATCTCATCACATGTCGTACGAGGAATCTTAGTAGTTTGCATTGTGTTGTAAGGAATAAACGAAATGCAAGCCAGAGCTAACTCCCTGCCATTGAAAGAGTTTTCGCCTTCCACCCTGCAAGTTTTTCATCAGTACGGTGTAAAAGATATTGGTAGTCTTTTTTTGTAGTCCTTCCATTGATGGTAGGGACCCCTAAATAGACACCAAGATTATGTATTTCTTCAGTTTCTAACGAACCACAAATAGCCTCCCTGACTTCCAAGTGAGTATATATTGACCAAAAAGAAGACTATTAACTTAGTTTTACTTTGCTTCCCTAAGCGGCACAGAACTTATCTAGATAACTCTTCATAATGCTAGCTTGCTCCACATTAGCTTCACAGAAAAGGTTCAAGTCGTCAATGAGTTAAACGCTCCATACATATTACATGTATATAAGGGGATAGAGGATCGCCGTGACGAATACCCCGACTAGGATAAAATTTCGTGGTTGGCTCACCATTCCACAAAATTTGAAGGCATGCCGAAGTAATACAAAGCATAACCAAATCAACCATGATTTGCAGAAGTCTTAATTCCAACAAAGATTCTCGAATAAAGCTTCACCTCAATCTGTTGTAGGCCTTCTCAAAATCTATTTTCACCGCCATGTATCCCTTTTTACCCTATTTACGTCTCATCGTATATATGCAACATCTATTGGACAATTATTACATTATATATAATTTGTCTTTTTGGCACGAAGCTGCATTGGGTCGGAGGAGTCCATATAAGCGCATAGCAGCTATGGGCATATCATGTGTATAGGAGGGCATAAGCGTCATTTACCATGCATTAAAATAAAAATAGTGTAGTGGAAGGCTAACTGTGTTTTAGTATCCCGTTATTTTTCGAAAACTAATTTCATTACCTTTAAAGATTATTCTCTCTCCTTCGTTTCTTGTTTTCTCTTGACTCTCTCTCCTCCCTCAAGGTCTACTCTGTTCCAACGAAGACACTAGGACGGTGGTTATCGCCGGGGCAAGAGCAGAAGTTTACTGCGGTGTAGTTGGTGCGTAAATTGTAGGTAGCTGCTACTAGCTTCGTTGTTTGATTGAAGGTATGGGCGCAAAACACTTCTCCAATTATGAATTTATGTGTAAATGTTGTATTTGTCACTTTTGTTTGTTGTTATGAAGTATTAGTTTATGTAATCTAGGGTTTTCCAGTGAGTTTAGCGATTTACGGTTTCTTGTGTTGTTCATTCGTTTAGTTGGGAAAAATTTTAGTGGGCGTGGTTCTAAAACCCTCAGTTGGAATGAATTTGTTGTTATGATGTTTTTCTTTATGTGATTTACGGCTATCCAGGGAAAATAGCGAAGTAGGGTTTCCTTTGTTCATTATTATAATTAGGATTAATTTAAGGTTGTGAGACTTGTAATTGGAATGAATTTGTTGATACGATGATTTACATTATGTAATGCTTTGTTATCCACTTAAATTTGCGACCCTTTGTTGTTTAATTTAATTTAAATCCATGTAAATGAGTGATTAATTGTGATTTTTTTGTGGTGGAAGACGTATTGAATTATGAATAAGTGATATTGTTACATTAAGAAATTATGAATGTTGTTGTATGTATATGTGAATGTAGTGGAGAAATTATAAGTGAAGAGTTAAGGGTTTGTTGAAATGGTTTTATGTAGTTGGGAAATCCCATTTATCGAGCGTTCATCTGAACTTGGTAGGAGGAAATAATGCCAAGGAAGAGCAAGGGATCAGGATTGGTGAGTTATTGTTTGTTGAAATTAAAAGATTGTGTGTTTGCTTAGTGATGGTTGTGTGTTGCAATTGATTTTTGGTGGCAAATATTTGTGTTTGTGTAGGCCCAGTCGAAAGCCGTGAATGAGGAGGCGCCTAAAAAGAAAGCAGCTAGTAAAGGGAAGAAGAAACTGAAATCTAATCCAGTTTTTGAGGTAGAGTATTTAAAGGACTTTGATGAAGCTGGTTCTGATGATGGTGGTTATGCTGAATCTAAGAGTGATGAAGCTGCTTCTGATGATGCTGCTTCCACATCTAGTGATTATGAGGAAGATGAGGATGCGGAGGACGATGTTCATATTGAGAAAAAGACAGGAAAAAGGGGCAAGCTAAAGGTATGTCATGTTAGATGGAAATGATAAAAGCTTATTTGTTGTGTAATACTTGGATGGAGAAATGAAATGTGTTATGTCATGTGTATGTCGAGAAGACGAAGGGAGAAGTGGCGAAGGAGAAAGGGGTTGTCGTTAAAACCCAATCAAGAAGTGCACAGAAGATAATCTCTGAACATTATTTGTTGAAATCCATGACATGGAAATGTCTGTTGGGAGTTCTGTGGTTGGGCCTTTGTTTAGATAGTTGGGAAAATAAACTGAATTACTAAAGATTAATTGTAAATTGTGCTTGAGTTGTAAGTTAAGTAAGAATATTGTGAGTCCTTAATTAAATGTGCAAGATTAAATTCCCTTATAGAATATTCACAAGTAATTTGAATGGGATTGTATAATTCGTTTCTATTTAGCTGGTTTATATGGAAGGACAATTTCTGTAATTTGTTGTAATTTAGTTGGAAATGTAAAAAATTGAGGTAATCTAGAAAGGAATTAGCTAGAATTGAAGAATTTGAGTAACCTAGAAGGAATTTAATCGCTTAGTGGTGTTATTTTGTGAGGCTTGGGCCGGTGTCATTTGATTGAAGTTTGTTTTGTTTGAATGTAATATTGTAGGCCCTACATTTGCATGGTGTGAAGGCTTTTGTGACTGCAGTGAAGAAGTTTGATGACTCTAGGAAGAAGCTGGTCACAGAAATAGGTTTTGAAGGGTTGTTAAGTATACCCCAAACTTTTGTACCCCAGAAGTTTGTGTACTGGCTGTTGATAAGGGTAATGGGTGATGGTTCGATAAATTTTGGAGATGAGTGTGTGCTTCCTTTGAGTCCTGTGCAGGTCGAGTACGTGCTTGGGATTCCCATGGGGTCAAAGGAATTTCCGTGTACAATTCCCGAGGATAAGCAGGAAGAGCATAGTAGAATATTGGAAAAGTTTGGGAAAAATGAACACATTTCATTAGTAGCTGCTTTGGGAGGACTGATTTGAAAGGATGAGGAAGGTAATGTGTTGCAGCTGTTGGATGACGAGAAGGCTTATTTCAAGATAACCTTTCTCATAGCTGCTCTGGGCTACTTATTGTGTGCTACGACAAATACAAGCTATCTTGGGGTGAAGC